TATACAAAAGTGAATACCTGCGGCGTTGAGTAAGTAATATCTAGTGGAAGACGGTCTGGTATAGATAAAATGTAGGAAACGAATTTCATTACGAGCCACAACGAACGCTACAACGCTAAAATTAAGATGTTTATGAGATTTGATGAGACGTTTCGAAAATGTATGTACGTACACCGAAAATGTAATAACATGACTGCAACTCGAGTTTGATAATGCAGATGGTCTTTGGGGAATCTCGAAACCGGGAAAGCGGCGGAGGTGGTATATATTATACGTATATAAGCCCGAGCCCTCCCAAACTCTAATACTAATTTAATTTTCACCTTACTCGTGCCCCATATTAACTTTATTGAATTAACATAACATCTCCTGGAGGGTCCATGGTCATCAACCTAATCAAATTAGTTTCTTCATCGTTACAAAATCAATTTCTAGCCACGTTTCAATTTTAGCAAACTTCCAGTCCGCATAAATTTATTTGTTATCGTGATTACAATTTTATTAATGCCTCGCGAAGTTTCCTGCTCTCCGGTTTTTTTTTATTATTGTAATGACTAAATGAAAAATTGCTGTTCGTCTAACTTTTAATGTTTCATAAAGTTGGGCAGCAATCTAGTTAATTAAAGGATTTGCTTGTAATGATGATGGATCGTTCTAAAATTAATAAGCGTATTTAAGACTTAAAATATGTTTATACCTATTGCCTTCACTTTAACTTTATGGCATTAAGGCTTTCATTCTTAGGGCCCTTAATACTTAAATGGCTTGAATTCCTGATGAAATTAATCGTACGTTACCGTAATTTAAATTGGCCTTTTGGATTATTTGATCCTAAAGGGCGACGGTGGGCACGCCGTTTTACAAGTATGGTGTATTAGTAATTTAATTGTGACACAAATTTACAAGAAAAGTTTGCGTTTGAGAGCCTTACACATTATGCTTGTCTCCTAAATTGCACTCTAAAGCAATAAGTTGGTTAGTGCTATGCACTGATGCTGGCATTGATTTATTATTAAGGATCCTCCGATCTTTTATATAGTTTTGTAGTGTTGTGCGTCCGTCCGTCCGTTTACGCTGTAACTCTTTTTAAAAGTGACCGATATTTGTTAAAATTTGGTGTACGGTTACGTTCAAGAACAGGAATAATAGTTATAGGACTATTATCTGGCTAAAGCTATGCCCATATTGAATTTCATGCAATTCAGTTCATAACTAACGGACCGGACGGACAGACGGACAGACATCGCAAAATTATAAACTCGCTAGGAGCTCGTTAATAAAAGCAAAACTAACACCAGGTTCAAAATTTGGTTTTATACATGCTATGGCCATACCCAGGAGCTCGATTTCTATATTTGTATGCACGTTTATTATTTAGTTACTTTTTAGCGGAATAAGTTGACAGATGCGGAATTTTTTTACAGCGTTGCCAAACTTTATTTCGTTATTTGTTGACAGTTCAGTTCGTTTTTTGCGTTCGTTTTCGGATATTGTTGTTGTGGTTGTGATTATTGTTCATTTTCGCGCTTAGTGCAAACAATATATTCTTTTCAGAACAAAATTGCCGTTATATTGCGGCAGAATTAAATTTAAACATTTAAACGATTAGCAGAATTTCGCAAACTGTTAAACAAAACGAATCATATACATCGCCACCAAAAAACATTACCGAAATAATAAAGTTACAGACACACATTCATTGAGTATTACGTCTATCCGTGGTCTAATGTATGACATGCATGCAAATACATAGTAAGATGTAAATTGTGGTAATGTTATTTGTTTACTTAACTATTTGTTTGAAGAGGAACAAGTTGTCTATCCTAATCTTAAAGCGAAAGACATGTTTGAAGGTGGTAAAACATCCTTATATGAATTGTTGTAAGAAATCGGTTTTAAGTGAAAGAGTCTTATTTTTTTTTATTTTAACAAAATTGAATATTACGTATGAAAAGTAGTTGGAAAGCTATCTTTCACCTTATTACTATTATACCAGATTCTGTTTGTTATCATTCTATGTAAGTAAATGTTTTTGCCTTGAACCTTGAACTTCGCTATTCTTTAATTCCCCTACAGCAAGGGTGTTACGGTCTCTTAAAACAACGTAAAATCAGTTCATCGGTCAAGATTGCAAGCAAACATTAACTTGATATTTATATTTTCTGGTGGCATGTGTAACTATTCATAACTTCCGAAACATTGACATTATGCCTCATTATAAACAAAATGCTCAAGGTACTACAGATTAAATAAATTGGATTTTCCTTGAACCAGTTGCAGCACAAGAGGATGGTTTCATTGGTTATATATTTTTTAAAATAAAATATTGATAAACATAGAGGTAAATTTTTCATCTGTTGCAGAGATGGGAATTTCGCTTAGATCTTAAATAAATAAATAGCGCAACTATACAGTCGGACACCCTTAATTAACGAAAGGTAATTAATTGTCAGAGCGCAATCTACAATCACTATGTTTGACCGGGTAATAGGAATGTGATGCTTAGTCTCAGGAAAACCATTCTAAGACGAGTTACGTTTCTGGTTCAGTTTCCGTTTATACAGGCTGATTCAAATTTGAGGGCCACCATGGGGATTTCGGGAACTGTAAGAGATAGGTAGGTAGTTTAAATTTGGTTGCGTATTTTGATGCTTAACAAAATAAAGTTTTAAAACTGAAAAAATTTTGACTACTTCAAAAGATATCCGGAAAACAAATCGATTTTATTTTTTACTGAAGGTATTTAAAAAATTTTGTCAAAATAAATAACACATTATTGTGGCCACTTTTTCCCTCTTGTAACTTGATACTTGATTTATAATTTATATTTAATTTAATAAAGAAACCGCTTTATTCGAGGCATTGACCTGCACTGGCATAAAATGTACAAAATAAATAGCTTATCTATGCAATACAATATTTTCAATATAAACATAATTTTACTATACGTCCTAACACAAGGTGCAAGTTTTATATTTTAAATCCGACGTTTCGTCTCCGGTTAACCATCCTCAACTTTGTTTTTTCTTACTGAAGTAATTTTTAGCGCATTTTTTAAGAATTAAAAAAAATATTGTTTGCGCTTTGTCCGTCCGTCCGGACCCACTTCCACCGTTTTGAACTACTTCTAGGGGAATGGTCCTCTAGAGGCCTGTAGTCCTGGGAGTGGAACTAGTTTTATCCTTCATGGTACTCTAATGAAAGGCCTCAACGAAAGGAATTAATTTCTACCAACCATAACCCTCCTCCTCGACCTCTTATCGTGATCGGGTATATTCCCTTATACCTCAAGAACGGATTGTTGGAAGAGGGTACTCACAAAGGGCGATTGATGATGTCAAAACAAAAGCTATTTCGGTTTAAAAAAATGCGCTTTATCTGCAGAGTTGTGCACAATTTATACTTGTTACTTTTTGTGTCATTTGATAAAGAATTTTTTTCTGATTTCAAAAATGTAATCATAATTTTTTTAATGTTAAAAATTTTCTTTTTTTACTAGAAAACTTTGTCTTGGGTAGTGTACGTACGTAGTTTCTTGCGTTTTTATGAATTAATAGCGCTATTTCTTATTAAAAGATAGTGTTGTTTACATTCTTTATCAAATGACAAAAAGTAAGAATTACTTCCATAATAAAAAAGAAAGTTGGTGATTGTTGACTGGAGATGAAACGTCAAACTTAAAATTTAAAAGTTGCATCTTATAGATAGAGGGAAAGAAGTGGCCATAATAATGTGTCATTTATTTCGAAATGTCTTTTTAAATAACTTCAGTTTCAAAACTGCATTTTGTTAAGCATCAAAATACACAACTTTGCCAAATTTAAACTACCTACCTATCTCTTACAGTTCCCGGGATCCCCCTGGTGCCCCTCGAATTTGAATCGGCCTGTATAGTTCTTGGAAGGAAGTGGGAATGTAATGGTGAAAGTAATTATGATGGTGGGAATGTCTCCAAATTACCCCCCTTTCTTAATAGAAATTTAGATTAATTCCAGATGGCTACATGAGTCAAATTACGAATTAATCCCATTAAATTTCACATCACTACAACACTGAGGATCTTCGATATTCCGTTGTATCGATTTATTATTAATTGCACATTGTGAGAATTAGCTCAGGTTTTGCGGAGTATTGATCTCAATTCCAAGACGAGACCTTAGAACTGACATGGGGTAACGGTTTATTTTCTCCACTACGAAGCAGGCAATATTTACTTGTTGAAAGATCCTCGTAACTTTTGAATAAATGGCTCCATCTTTTGTTGGAATTCGAACCACACACTTCGCTGCGTCGTGATTTTTGGTTGCCGACCTTCATCTTCCTCTTTCTTCTGTGAGCTGTAAAAAAGTGCACTTTGCTTGAAGGAACAACTGAGGAGTTAGTTGGGAACGCATGGAATTTTAATTGCCATGATCCATATTTTATTAATCTCATTTTATTGGGGATTCTGTGAACGGATTCGCTTTTAACTCCGTAGGAGGATATAATTGCGTTTTTTTCTTCTTTATCGCAAGTACCGCCATTTGCATTTCGTTTACTTGAAGTGTGCTTATTCTTTAGGTTCGGCTGTCATCTGTTATACAATTTTCCATTGACGATCTATAATTAGCCCTCTTATTTAGGATTCAGAGGCTTGTGCATTCTATGACATCAGCAAAGTGTTGGGTTGAGGCTGTGATAACAGTTGCGGGGGTGATTAACCGAACAGAGCCGTCTCTAGAACCAATGATTTCGCCATACGAACCTTGTTACAAAAAGAAACCTCCGATCAGCCGTCTTAAAGTATTCGGCACTGAATTCTTTGTTCACGTACCAAAGGAGAAAAGTAAAGTTTGACCTGTTCTCCATTTTGGGTAACTAGCAGGCATAAGGCACCATAGGTACAGTGAAAACGCAAAGTCTAAGAGTAGATTTCTATCGTACAGAATCAGATCAGATCCACAAAGGAAAACCGACATTAAAAAAATTACAAAATAAATATAGTAACCTCTTCCGACCTATCAAAGTGAAATGCTTTATTTCTTATAACCGGCTACAAAATGTACATTGTTTAAATGTTAAAATATTACATACGTCATAAAGTTTATACTTCTCTACACTCGAGAATAAAATAAGGACACCAAGAATCCCAATAATCTTCATTAATCTTCAGAAATGTGTGATTCTTGAATCGTATAACCTTCCTGTCTCCGTACCTCGTATTCTTCAGTAGCAAATACCTTAAGTTGCCCATTACCTCCACAAACTCCAATTGCTCGACGTTCGTATCGCTCAAATCGAGCTCCTCCATTTCGGTTTGATTAGCAAAAACCTCTCCAGCTAACCGTTTCACTTTATTCCCCTTCAACGATAAATAATTCAGTCTCATATTCGCGAATATTCCGACCGGTAGCTCCGTAAATTTATTATATTCCAAATTGAGCACCTTAAGCTGCTGCAACTCGGAAAGTGCATTAACATGGAACTTTTTCACGGTAGTATTTCCCAAGTTTAATGTATTTAAACCCTTTGCCTCCGCGAAAGTGCCTTGCGTAATTTTCGGCAGTTTATTGCCGGATAAGTTTAAACTTTTCAAGTTTTCGAGGCCGGCAAACATGGACGGTTGGATTGTTGTTAAACGCGTGTTGTGTAGATCGAGCACTTGAAGGGAGCGCAGTTGATGAAGCGGTGCTGGCGTTGGTAACGCGCCGAGGTTGTTATTTGACAAATTAAGCGATTGTAAATGTTGAAGGTGGTCAAGCCCAATTGCCGATAAGTTGGTTATCTTATTGCTGCTCAAGATGAGTGAGGTCAGGTTTGAGAAATGTTTGAAAATATCGGAAGTTAGTTGGGAAACGTTGTTAGATTCCAAGGTGAGTTCTTCTAATTGGGGCGAGTTCTTAAACGCATCTTTTGTAACGTGAGTTAAACCGTTATTGGAGAGATCGAGAAGTTTCAGATTAGGAACGTCCAGAAGAGCGTCATCTTCTAAGATAGTTAGTTGATTATGAGAGAGTTGCAGCGATTTGAGAGTAGGAACGTTTAGAAGTAGGCTTTTTATTCTGTTAGAATTTAAATCTAGGGTGGTTATTGAGGGAAGCTCAACAAACCAATCACTTTCAATACGCACCAAGTAGTTGTTCGACAAAATTAACTCGTTGAGGTTTCTTAGACCACTGAAAGCAGCCCTGTCGACGCTTCGGAGATGATTTCCATTGAGATTTAGTACTCTTAGTCTTTCAAGATCTTGAAATACGTTTGCGGGCAATACTGTTATACTGTTGTTGTCCAATTTCAGCTCCTCCAAGTTTCTCAGTGTGGCAAAGCTGTAAGGGTTAATGCTCGTAATACCATTACCGCTTAGGTGCAAATGCGTTAGAGGAACATCACGAAACATGTACTCGGATAGATCGACTGCTGAATGTACCAAAACCAATATGTTGAGCCTCCTCAATTCGGCCACAAAGTCTTGCGGTAGCGATGAAATTTGGTTACGTTCCAAGATGAGGCTGTACAATGGTGTCAAATTCGAAAGAGCTTCGACGGTTCCCATTTTACAATCGCGAATTGTGATCCGATTTAATTCTGGAAAATCATCTACGAAATCGCGCTGAATTTCAGAAATCACGCTCTTTGCTATGTCTAATTCTTTGAGACGTTTTCCTAGTAGACTCTGCGATTTTGTTAAGGTGATGCTGCTGTTGCTAATAAAAATCCGGATCATCGTCAAATTAGAGAGAGGGGTTTCTATTTCTTCTAAAGCAGTTATTTGGTCGCAGTAAATGAAGTAGACGCCAAAATTGTTTTCATGGCGACAAGTTGATGAGGCCAATTGTACACTGAGCAGGAAAGGTAAAATGATCAGCAATGGATTGTTCATCTTCGGTACCTAAAAGAGTACAAACAACATTTGCGTGACAATTCTTTTTGTTATGTTCATAAATTGACTTACCTTCATTCTCAGACAAACTAAACTAACCAAACCAGCCTGCACCTGTTGCAATACTAAACTAGAACGAGGTGAAACGCTCGCACTTATTGTAACTAAACTCTTGTAAAGTAAACAATGCACGGGCGATGGTTTTACCCACCGAACTACGTAATTAAACGTAAATTTTAATTAATGGTCTCATTCACCGCATTGGTTCGGGTCGTGTAAGATATGCAAATTTCCAGGATAGAAGAAAATTCCAGATCGATTAACCATTTTGTGTTAATCCATCTCCGGTGGTAATTAGTACAAATTTTCCTAAATTGTTACGTTCTATTATTAGGTCGTTACATTCTATCTTTCTGTTATTCACACTCGTACTATAACTTTATCGGTACCTAACTGTATCTACTTTTGATTTATTGGCAGAATGTTGCAGAAAAGGTATTAATAGATAAATAATAAAAATTTAAAAAAATGCAAGAAATTCATTTGATCTTGTAGTTCAGGGAATAGAGGGTTTTAACTTCATAGACAGTCATCTGGTGTTTAAGAATCTAAGTTTCCTTTGTGTTTCCCCCGTACCACCCCCAAAACCCCATGAAGTGTGGTTGGTTTCTTAGTTTTTCAATCATAGTTTTCTAATGGTTTACTTTAGAAAAAATATTGTGATCAGAAATTGTAGACTCGAGCATTCTACGATGATTCCTTCCTTTGCAGCCGACCGACCGACAGACTGACCGAACAGCCAAAGTGAATATATAAGCGCTATCTCTTGGGGCGCTTCTTTTTTTTAAAAACGCCCTAAAAACATTTACTATTCATGTTCATATAAAATAATGATGTGTAAATTATGTCCGAAAACGATATAATCTTAGATAGTTGAACAATCACTACTATAGGGGGTTGAAATAATCATCCCTTTTTGGAAGGGGTTCAAATGAAACAAGACCACTTTTCTTATTTGATAATTGTATCCCAAGCGCCATAATCACACAGTGATTCTATCTACTACGACCAAGAGGTTGAAGTGCTATCAACCCCTTTGATAGGGGTGCAGAGTAGATACGGAAATTAATAGCACCGTAACTTTATAATCGAGGTATTTTCTCATATGAATCTTATCATTATAGAGATAACATACAATTTTGTTAAAATATGTACGACCACCGACTAAAGTAATGATAACCGGAAGCTTGCCAGTTAGGCAACCAACCATACACTATCGAAAATGGCAACGTTGAAGTGTAACTTTTCCGGCGGGAATTCGTGTGGGATTTTCGTCTTTGCTTCGGCGTTTCTTCGTCACTGCCTTTATATAAACGCTACAGTAGGTATAATTACAAAAACCGGATTTAATGCATTATATTCTTGCATTAATTCACATTGGTATCTTCAATCTCGTTTTTTTCTCCATTGAAATAAAACATATTTTGGTGATCCAGTTTTGTTCCACACTGACAAAACATTTTTTTTTAAATTTAGGGTGTTTTCAGTCAAACCGAAACTCAAAAAATTGTAATTGTCAATGAATCCTTTTCTTTTTACTCTAAATTGAAAAAATAGGGGTAACAATTTTAGCGAACAATTCATGACAGGTAACCGATGAAGTAGTAATTTCGACTCCTTCGGCATTTAAAATCAGATTTGCTTTTAATGGAAGGACCATAATATGAAGACATTGCTTATCTAATAAAGGATTTTGCAATAGGGACGCTCGAACTTTGAAAGCGCATAGCGGCCATCTTGGTAAAGCGATAGCTTTCAAAATTGGCATGAGTACGTATTTAGTCCTGTCATTTCACCATGGAAAGCTACACGCTTCAACAACGCGTAGAAATTGTTAAAATTGATTATCAAAATCAGTGCTGCGTTCGCCTAGATTTCCGTGCGTTGTGTCCAATTTATGGCGTTCATGGCCGTCCTGCAGAGTCCACAATCCGTTTTTTAATAAAAATTTGAGACAACGGGGTAAGTGATTGACGAAGCAGCGCCTGTACGTCAAAGAAACGCAAGATCGTTGGAGAATATTATTGCCGTTCAGGACAGTGTGCGAGAAAACACCAAACAGTCCATTCTGCGTAGTGCGCAAGAAAGACCCCTTTCTGGGACATCAACTTTGGCGGTTTTTGCGTCGAGACTTGGGTTTTCATCCATATAAAGCTCAGTTCCCTAGTCTATGCAGACAAATGACACTCAATTGCTGCCCTAAAGGTCAGCATAACTCGCGTTCTTCGTAAAATTGAGCCCAGTTTATGCGAAGATGTCCAAAATTGGTCCACCAGAATACATCTACAGCGGGGTCGCGGGGGCCATTTGGCCTTACATAATGTCATCGAATATCCTTTAAAATATTATGAAAATTGTGGTAATATCACTAAAACAGGTTGTTTTATTTCATTTCAAAGTTAGAGCGCTCTTAATGAAAAACCCTTTATGTAATTAACAAGGTATTTATTAACATTTCCATTGTTATGGGCCCCACGCGTCGCGCCTTGTCCCTTCTTAGCAGTTTCTGTGTCTTCGTGACTGTCTTGATATAAAGGGAGTAGTAGGTATATTCCAACAATTGAGAAAGCCAAAATGCAAAATTAAAAAAAGATTTACCAATTCTTGTAGTTATACCTGCTGTAGCGTTATTAAGGCAGCTACGAAGAAACTCCGAAGCAAACACGACAACCCTTACGAATACTCGCCGGAAAACTTGCACTTCGACGTTGCCATTTTAGATAGTATAAAGTTGGTTTCGTAAGTGGCAGTAAGCTTCAGATTATCATTACCTTTGTCGGTGATATACATAGAAATTTCGGAATCTTCAAAATAAAGTCAACTTTCAAGCTTTGTATCTTTTTAAATAAAAAATTTACAAAAAGGAGGTACAAAATTATGTGAAATTTGATGGTCTACAATTTCTAAAAATGTATAAAAAGATATATGATCGAAAAGCTAAAAAACCAACCAAATTTCTTTGGTTTTAAGGGTGGTACGGGGGAAGACTTGGATTCTGAACCACCAGCTAGTCCTCCATGATATGCCAAAAATTTGAACTACTTCTCGTTTTGCAAAAAATGGTATATTTTGATTCTCGATTTCCCGAACTAAATAATTAAATAAATAAATACATAAATAAGTAAATAAATAATTATATAAATAAATAAATAAATAAATAGGTTTCTTTATTCCCATTAATACAAAAAAGTTTATAAAGTTCATACTACAGAACAAAACCAAAAAATTACTTCTATTGGATAATTAGTATAATAACATTGTTGATAAGGGAAAAGGCACAGCATAAACGAGTTAAGCTGCCCTTCGATAGTAATTCAACATAAAGTTTGGTTTAAAGTTACAGTGTATGAAAATGAGTATAAAGATGGAGATGTTCTGTACCACTCAAAACTGGCAAGTTGTGGGATTCGAACTCACCACCTGTGAGGTTAGAGTCCGAATCTTAAACCGTTACGTTGAGTGTGATATGACGAGGGATACGACCTTCTTGTGGGTAGCATCTTACACCGTGATGACCTAGTTCGTCATCAACTTTGCTCCCATCCTAAGACAGAGGCAAATTTGTAATTGTGTATTAGATAACTCGTTCCTCAGACAATAAGAGGGTATTGCATTGAGCCAATGACCTGAATGCTTAGATAAAGTGCCAATGAGACGGGAAGAGTCAATAAGGGATGAGGAACTCTTCTACATCAGTACATCACAGGATTTTTGAGCCAGTTGAGTCTCAAACTTTTTGATTCTTTTTATCTCCAACTTTTATGGTAAATTCATTGTCAACAGATTTTCAATATTTTTATCATTTCTAGGATAGCAAATTAGGATGAGCAATAAGCTGCTGGTATTAAAAGTTGTGATGTTCTCATAATTCCTAATCCTCCCATAGTTACAAGGAGCCTTGCCTGTATCCACTGATTTGGTCCAAGTTTAGCATTAGTGATTTCCTCCAGAAATATCCTGAGGGATTGAGGATGAAAGGAAGATCTTGTGGTGTACAATGTACATTAGTTTCGGGATTTCAAGAGTAATAGAAAAAAATGCGGGATGCGTATCCAGTAGCTGCAGTCTCTCTCCCAGTAGTTTTAACTTGTTTTTCTTATTTAAAAGTATTTTTGGGATTTTATCTGGAAGAATAGCAGTACCGAGAAGTTTTAAATCGTCAATCCAAGTGAAATAGAATCGAATTTTCTGTTATCTAATGTAGCATATTTTACCTATAGTGTGTATTTCACATTTTGAGAGATTCAGTTCCAATTCAAGTGTATCAGCAACTTCATGGATTTTGATCAAAACATGTCAAAATCGTTATTGATGCACCTAGATCGTTGGGAACAAGCTTTATCTCAATGACCAAGACATGAATTTGATGCGTTTTTGTTAACTATAAAATGTATTATGTAAGATTAAAATAAATAGTCGCTAAAAGTGATTGTAATACTGAGGATCCTTCGATATTTCGTTGTATCGGTTTATTGGATTAAAAAAGCACGGTGGATGGAAGAGCAGTAGCATTTCTGAAAGTTATGTCAATCAGTCATTAACTAGCAAAAATAAAAAGATTATATGTGGATCTCCAGGGAACCCTTCACCCATCTTCGTTGCCATCACCAGAATCTGCTACTTCTTCATACAGTATTAATTCAAATTCACTTATCGACTGCGGTGTGTGAAGAATCTATAAACACCGTGTTTTCGATTTGCCTATCGAATTCCCGAACTAATTTTTGTAACTTGATAAATTGTACATTAAACTTCTACATTAGTTAACAAGTTAAAAAGTAATCGTAAACGATTTACATAAAGCGCATTTCCACTTGCATTCATTTCCCATTTGTAAGATGCAACTTCTGTTAAAATCGTAAAAATCCGGCCACAAATATGAAAGATAGCGTTGCACATGGGCAATCCATTGTTGACGTGCTACTTCAATTTCAGTTTATGAGAAGAATTTCATTTCAATGCTTTTCTAAATAAGAAAGTTGAAACTGCGCATGCGCAAACCTAAATTTTGAAACTGGCGCTAGATTTTCCTTTATTCCAAGAGCCTATGTATCACATTTCATTTAAATTCTTCCATAAATAAAAAAGTTGGCACTGCGCATGCGCAAAACCAAATTTTGAAATTGGCGTTTGATTTTCCTTTATTCGAAGTGCTTATGTATCAAATTTCGTTTAAATTCTTCCATAAATAAAAAAGTTGGCACTGCGCATGCGCAAAACCAAATTTTGAAATTGGCGTTTGATTTTCCTTTATCCCAAGTGCCTATGTATCAAATTTCGTTTAAATTCTTCCATAAATAAAAAAGTTGGCACTGCGCATGCGCAAAACCAAATTTTGAAATTGGCGTTTGATTTTCCTTTATCCCTTTATTCGAAGTCAAATTTCGTTTAAATTCTTCCATAAATAAAAAAGTTGGCACTGCGCATGCGCAAAACCAAATTTTGAAATTGGCGTTTGATTTTCCTTTATCCAAAGTGCCTATGTATCAAATTTCGTTTAAATTCTTCCATAAATAAAAAAGTTGGCACTGCGCATGCGCAAAACCAAATTTTGAAATTGGCGTTTGATTTTTCTTTATTCCAAGTGCCTATGTAACAAATTTCATTCAAATACTTTTATAAGTAAAAAAGTTTGCAATTCGGTTTATAAATGGTCGAGATGCGAAAAGGGCACTTTGCAATTCGGTTTACAAATGGTCGAGATGCGAAAAGGGCACTGTGAATTTTGAATCGATTCGATTCAACTTTTGGCATTGCGTATTATATGGTTCAAGCTATGCCCATATTGAATTTCATGCAATTCAGTTCATAACTAACGGAGATGTAAAAGCGATCGAACATTTCTAAACAAAGTTATCGTTCACACAGACAGATAGATGGACAGACAGACAAAGGAATAGACGGACAGACCAACAGGCACACGACAGATAGCAATGCAAAAACGGCAAAAGTGTAAAATTATGGAACATGTAAAAAACGGTTTTTTGTTTTTTTTACAATAACTTTTTTGTAAGCGGTACAGAAAAAAATCCTTCCTTGGTACATAAGACTCGACACCATAACGAACCAAATAGCGAAAAAAGTAGAACAATATCTCTTAAGATAAAGAACTAGTAGCGTCGCAAAACGAGCGGACGGACGGACGGACAAAGTGGCCACAATAGCGCATTTTTTTTTATTTTTGTGGAAATGCGCTAAAAATAGTTTGATTATTGACACATATCCTACTTATCGCATGTTACTATAACCGTCACTTAATTGCTAAGCACGCTGCTATGGTACACATACCGCCCTAGGTTGGTAAGTGCACCTTTCCGCCTTGAATTAGTAAGTAGCTGATAATAACCCATCGTGTAAGGTGGTTTAGTTCTGAGTGTTTAACGTTTAAAATAAAACTAAAGAAAAAAAGAGTTAGTAATTATGTCCTTTACTACTTTGTAATTTGATAACACATTGACAGGGAAGAAATTATTGTCTGTTCTTCTCGATCCAATCTCTGTAGTAGGATACCCTGGTGAAGACATCGGGCATGCCATTGGCGCATGGATCTCCCAGTGATACAACACCGATTTGAATTCCATCTCCAGCAACTAATGGACCGCCGGAATCACCTTTGCATGCTCCTTGACCAACCATTGTAAAAGTGCAAACTTGTCTTTCGTCAATTGGTATGCCAAACTCAGAATTTTTCCACATCTCAATGCATTTGTCAAGAGGAAAGGTTACCAAATCCAGATACTGCAACTCGTTGGCTGCGTCTCCGGGGAATTCCGTCATTCCCCACCCAGACAAAACACAGCCGATAGAGGTGCCTATATAGTTTTCTGATAGTTTTACGGGTTTAACCTTTTCATTGAACACGATTGGAGTCTTTAACTTCAATATTCCAATATCGTTCCTGTATCCTCCCATCGGGTCATACAAGTCATGAGGTCGGCGCTCAGCGATTTCGTACGAATCGCCGCCTTGATCTAAGGTGTTGGAGCCTACGGTGATAGACATAGGCATTTGTTCAAAACTGCAAACACAAAATACCTATAGTCTTTCAAGCACATTTTATTTCCTAATTTTTATTTGCTTACCCATATAGGCAGTGAGCTGCAGTAAGAATAGTGGTGGCATCAATAATTGATCCCCCACAGTTATGCTGTCCATCGAAACGTAAAGAGACTTGGTAAGGAAAAGCACCGTCCGCTGCCGTTTCGCCGCCAACGATACGCCAGTCCTTTTTTATGGTGGCACCTGAACGATTAGGTTAGCTTCAATTGTATTTTAGACAGTGCCACTTACCAAAAACAGTGCTTGAGAGAAATATCAGTAAAAACCCCTTCATTTCTGCTTCGATCCAATGAGATACTAAAGTGCCGAAATTAGCAATTCCACCGTATTTATACCTAGTGTAAGTACCCGATGCGCATAATACCAGTTACACACTATCTCAAGTAGTCTTGATATGATGCAAAAATCGTGGATAAGATTTCTACTTTTTTTTACGCAGTTACATTTCGGTACTGAAAGTTTTATTCCTTCGCAAATCATTATTTTGTCTTCTTATTAACACTCTCCTCCAACAATAAATTTCTTTCTCGTTTTAAAATACACCTACCTGTGTAGCAATCCTCGATTTGGGTTGTAATTTTTGTTGTACACCAAATATTTTGAATTTTTTGATTGATCATGTTTAAGTAATCTATAAGAAACCCTGAAACTGCCCTCTAACAATAAATTTCCTTCTCGTTTGAAACTTACGTAATTTTCTAGAAAATTAACACCTACGACTATAGCAACCCTCGATTGCGGGGGTTCTAATTTTTGTTGTACACCAAATATTTTTGAATTTTTTGATTGATTATGTTTAAATAATCTATAACCAACCCTGAAACAGCCCTCTAACAATAAATTCCCTTCTTGTTTTAAACTTACATAATTTTCTAGAAAATTAACACCTACGACTATAGCAATCCTCGATTCCGGGGGTTGTAATTTTTGTTGTACACCAAATATTTTGAATTTTTTGATTGATTATGTTTAAATAATATATAACCAACCCTGGAACTACTCTCTAGCAATAAATTTCCTTCTCGTTTGAAACTTACGTAATTTTCTAGAAAATTAACGCCTAAGTATATAGCAATTCTCGATTGCGGGGGTTGTAATTTTTGTTGTACATCAAACATTTTGAATTTTTTGACAGTTTATGTTTAAGGAATTAACAAACAACCCTTAAAGAGCCCTCTAGCAATAAATTTCCTTCTCGTTTGAAACTTATGTACTTTTCTAGAAAATTAACGCCTACGTATATAGCAATCCTCGATTGCGGGGGGTTGTAATTTTTGTTGTACACCAAATATTTTGTTTTTTTTGATAGATTATATTTAAGTAATCTACAACCAACCCTGAAACTGCCCTCTAGCAATAAATTTCCTTCTCGTTTGAAACTTACGTAATTTTCTAGAAAATNGCCCTCTAACAATAAATTCCCTTCTTGTTTTAAAATTACATAATTTTCTAGAAAATTAACACCTACGTGAATAGCAATCCTCGACTACGGGGGTTGTATTTTTTGTTGTACACCAAATATTTTGAATGTTTTGATTGATTATGTTTAAATAATATATAACCAACCCTGGAACTACCCTCTAACAATAAATTTCGTTCTCGTTTGAAACTTACGTAATTTTCTAGGAATTTAACACCTATTTGAATAGCAATCCTCGATTACGGGGGTTCTAATTTTTGTTGTAAACCAAATATTTTGAATTTTTTGATTGATTATGTTTAAATAATATATAGCGAACCCTGGAACTACCCTCTAACAATAAATTTCCTTCTCGTTTGAAACTTACGTAATTTTCTAGAAAATTAGCACGTACGTGAATAGCAATCCTCGATTGCGGGGGTTTTAATTTTTGTTGTACACCAAATATTTTGAATTTTTTGATTGATTATGTTTAAATAATCTATAACCAACCCTGAAACAGCCCTCTAACAATAAATTCCCTTCTTGTTTTAAAATTACATAATTTTCTAGAAAATTAACACCTACGACTATAGCAATCCTCGATTCCGGGGGTTGTAATTTTTGTTGTACAGCAAATATTTTGAATTTTTTGATTGATTATGTTTAAATAATATATAACCAACCCTGGAACTACTCTCTAGCAATAAATTTCCTTCTCGTTTGAAACTTACGTAATTTTCTAGAAAATTTACACCTACGTGAATAGCAATCCTCGATTACGGGGGTTGTAATTTTTGTTGTAAACCAAATATTTTGAATTTTTTGATTGATTATGTTTAAATAATATATAACCAACCCTAGAACTACTCTTTAACAATAAATTTCCTTCTCGTTTGAAACATACGTAATTTTCTAAAAAATTAACACCTACGTGAATAGCAATCCTCGATTACGGGGGTTGTAATTTTTGTTGTAAACCAAATATTTTGAATTTTTTGATTGATTATGTTTAAATAATATATAACCAACCCTAGAACTACTCTTTAACAATAAATTTCCTTCTCGTTTGAAACATACGTAATTTTCTAAAAAATTAACACCTACGTGAATAGCAATCCTCGATTACGGGGGTTGTAATTTTTGTTGTAAACCAAATATTTTGAATTTTTTGATTGATTATGTTTAAATAATATATAACCAACCCTAGAACTACTCTTTAACAATAAATTTCCTTCTCGTTTGAAACATACGTAATTTTCTAAAAAATTAACACCTACGTGAATAGCAATCCTCGATTACGGGGGTTGTAATTTTTGTTGTAAACCAAATATTTTGAATTTTTTGATTGATTATGTTTAAATAATATATAGCGAACCCTGGAACTACCCTCTAACAATAAATTTCCTTCTCGTTTGAAACTTACGTAATTTTCTAGAAAATTAGCACGTACGTGAATAGCAATCCTCGATTGCGGGGGTTTTAATTTTTGTTGTACACCAAATATTTTGAATTTTTTGATTGATTATGTTTAAATAATCTATAACCAACCCTGAAACAGCCCTCTAACAATAAATTCCCTTCTTGTTTTAAACTTACATAATTTTCTAGAAAATTAACACCTACGACTATAGCAATCCTCGATTCCGGGGGTTGTAATTTTTGTTGTACACCAAATATTTTGAATTTTTTGATTGATTATGTTTAAATAATATATAACCAACCCTGGAACTACTCTCTAGCAATAAATTTCCTTCTCGTTTGAAACTTACGTAATTTTCTAGAAAATTTACACCTACGTGAATAGCAATCCTCGATTACGGGGGTTGTAATTTTTGTTGTAAACCAAATATTTTGAATTTTTTGATTGATTATGTTTAAATAATATATAACCAACCCTAGAACTACTCTTTAACAATAAATTTCCTTCTCGTTTGAAACATACGTAATTTTCTAAAAAATTAACACCTACGTGAATAGCAATCCTCGATTACGGGGGTTGTAATTTTTGTTGTAAACCAAATATTTTGAATTTTTTGATTGATTATGTTTAAATAATATATAACCAACCCTAGAACTACTCTTTAACAATAAATTTCCTTCTCGTTTGAAACATACGTAATTTTCTAAAAAATTAACACCTACGTGAATAGCAATCCTCGATTACGGGGGTTGTAATTTTTGTTGTAAACCAAATATTTTGAATTTTTTGATTGATTATGTTTAAATAATATATAACCAACCCTAGAACTACTCTTTAACAATAAATTTCCTTCTCGTTTGAAACATACGTAATTTTCTAAAAAATTAACACCTACGTGAATAGCAATCCTCGATTACGGGGGTTGTAATTTTTGTTGTAAACCAAATATTTTGAATTTTTTGATTGATTATGTTTAAATAATATATAGCGAACCCTGGAACTACCCTCTAACAATAAATTTCCTTCTCGTTTGAAACTTACGTAATTTTCTAGAAAATTAGCACGTACGTGAATAGCAATCCTCGATTGCGGGGGTTTTAATTTTTGTTGTACACCAAATATTTTGAATTTTTTGATTGATTATGTTTAAATAATCTATAACCAACCCTGAAACAGCCCTCTAACAATAAATTCCCTTCTTGTTTTAAACTTACATAATTTTCTAGAAAATTAACACCTACGACTATAGCAATCCTCGATTCCGGGGGTTGTAATTTTTGTTGTACACCAAATATTTTGAATTTTTTGATTGATTATGTTTAAATAATATATAACCAACCCTGGAACTACTCTCTAGCAATAAATTTCCTTCTCGTTTGAAACTTACGTAATTTTCTAGAAAATTAACACCTACGTGAATAGCAATCCTCGACTACGGGGGTTGTATTTTTTGTTGTACACCAAATATTTTGAATGTTTTGATTGATTATGTTTAAATAATATATAACCAACCCTGGAACTACCCTCTAACAATAAATTTCGTTCTCGTTTGAAACTTACGTAATTTTCTAGGAATTTAACACCTATTTGAATAGCAATCCTCGATTACGGGGGTTTCTAATTTTTGTTGTAAACCAAATATTTTGAATTTTTTGATTGATTATGTTTAAATAATATATAGCGAACCCTGGAACTACCCTCTAACAATAAATTTCCTTCTCGTTTGAAACTTACGTAATTTTCTAGAAAATTAGCACCTACGTGAATAGCAATCCTCGATTACGGGGGTTGTAATTTTTGTTGTAAACCAAATATTTTGAATTTTTTGATTGATTATGTTTAAATAATATATAACCAACCCTAGAACTACTCTTTAACAATAAATTTCCTTCTCGTTTGAAACATACGTAATTTTCTAAAAAATTAACACCTACGTGAATAGCAATCCTCGATTACGGGGGTTGTAATTTTTGTTGTAAACCAAATATTTTGAATTTTTTGATTGATTATGTTTAAATAATATATAACCAACCCTAGAACTACTCTTTAACAATAAATTTCCTTCTCGTTTGAAACATACGTAATTTTCTAAAAAATTAACACCTACGTGAATAGCAATCCTCGATTACGGGGGTTGTAATTTTTGTTGTAAACCAAATATTTTGAATTTTTTGATTGATTATGTTTAAATAATATATAGCGAACCCTGGAACTACCCTCTAACAATAAATTTCCTTCTCGTTTGAAACTTACGTAATTTTCTAGAAAATTAGCACGTACGTGAATAGCAATCCTCGATTGCGGGGGTTTTAATTTTTGTTGTACACCAAATATTTTGAATTTTTTGATTGATTATGTTTAAATAATCTATAACCAACCCTGAAACAGCCCTCTAACAATAAATTCCCTTCTTGTTTTAAACTTACATAATTTTCTAGAAAATTAACACCTACGACTATAGCAATCCTCGATTCCGGGGGTTGTAATTTTTGTTGTACACCAAATATTTTGAATTTTTTGATTGATTATGTTTAAATAATATATAACCAACCCTGGAACTACTCTCTAGCAATAAATTTCCTTCTCGTTTGAAACTTAGTAATTTTCTAGAAAATTAGCACGTACGTGAATAGCAATCCTCGATTGCGGGGGTTTTAATTTTTGTTGTACACCAAATATTTTGAATTTTTTGACAGATTATGTTTAAGTATTTTCGAACCAACCCTGTAACTGCCCTTTAACAAGAAATTTCCATCTCGTTTGAAACTAACATTATTTTCTAGAAAATTAACACCTACCTGTGTAGCAAATCTCGATTACTGCGCTTGTAATTTTTGTTGTACACCAAATATTTTGAATTTTTGATTGATTATGTTTAAATAATATATAACCAACCCTCTAACAGTAAATTTCCTTCTCGTTTGAAACTTACGTAATTATCTAGAAAATATTAATAATATTAATTATAAGTCAGTCCACCCACATTTTTAGTAGAAGGTGCCATATATTCAGCTGAGTATCTCATCAATGAAGGCGTACTACTGTTCATCTACTGCGGCTGCAAAAAGTTACTTGTAAATGGAACACAACTTTTAGAACTAAGGGTTGTCTATAACCAATGGCAAGTTCTGCATTTATGAAGACACCACCTACCAACCTACGTTTGGTCGAAGTAGGTATTTCTGAGTGAAGTGATTACTACAGCACTGTATTATTTATTAAGAGGAAAATCACTAACCTAAAATTCACAATCTAAATTTAAACATCATCATGGCAAGTCAGTAAGTATTCCGGGCACCATGTATCCCAAGTCCGTTCATTGATCCTTTCGAATCGTCTCGTTTTGATCCTGAAGACGGTCCTGTTTTCAAACTTCGTACCTCTAAGCATGGCGTACCTCAAATCCGGTATAACGTCCGTCTCCTCTAAACTTTCGATCGATGTATTCTCAAAGTTAATTTCGCGCAGCTTAACTTGCCCTCGGTAGATGTTTCTGCCGATTGTTCGAATAGGATTGCCCCTGATCGACAGAATTTCTAAGCTGATATCGTCGAAAATTCCTTCGGATAGCTGCGGCACGCGATTCTCGGCAAGGTTTAGATGAATCAGGTTTTTCGTGTCCGAAAATGTGCCCAATTCCAGCCGTGTTAAACCGGTATCTTGGACGTTTAGTACTTGGAGGTTGACCAGGTGGTGGAAGACGCCCGGTTTTAGATGTTGAAGTTTGTTGGCGGATACGTTCAATGACTGCAGGGTGTGGAGGCCGACAAACATCGCGGGGTCGAGCGCCGATAGGCCAGTGTTTTCCAAGTCGAGTTCTTCCAAAGCTTGAAGCTTGGAAAATGGCGAGGCCGGTAGAGTTTGAAGGTTGTTGCTCGACAGCTGTAGATGCCTCAGCTTTCCGAGGTAGTCAAAGCCAATGTTGCCGATGCTTGTTAGACGGTTTCCACTTAGAAGCAGCATCTCCAAGGTGGGTGTGTGCATAAACACTTTGCTTGGTAGATGGTTAATTTTATTGCCAGCCAGATGTAAAATAGCCAGGTGTTCCAATCCTTTCAGCGCATCGTCGGGGAGAGTGACCAGGGAGTTGTAGGAAAGATCAAGTTCCCCTAAAGTCTGGAGCTTTTCAAACGCGCCGGCATTAATTTCCTCTAGCTTGTTGTTCGACATATTCAGAAACTCGAGGCTTTGAAGGGACATGCTAAAATTGTTGATGCGGTTGTAACTAAGATCCAGATGCTTCAACGAGCGGAGCGGTGCCAACCATTCCATTGGAATTAAAGCGAGTTCGTTGTGGGAAATTGACAAGGTTTTTAGCTTGTGTAGAGTTTTGAAGGTTCGGTCACTGAATGCGTTAAGCTTGTTGAAGAAATTGACAAGGTTTTTAGCTTGTGTAGAGTTTTGAAGGTTCGGTCACTGAATGCGTTAAGCTTGTTGAAGTCCATCATGAGCTGTTCGAGCTCAGTGATCTCCTCAAATATTCGGTCCGGTAATGCAGCTAGTCGATTATGCGTCAGCGATAGTTGGCTCAACTTGCCTAATGTTCGGAAGGCATCAGATTTCAGTTCTACTATTCTTGCATTATCCAGGAAAATCAAGATTAGGGGTAGGTTTCTGAAGAAATCATCTGGAATTATATCCAAGTTGGGCCAAACGTTGTCTTGGGTAACAACCAAATGTAGCTTGTGCAGATCTAAGAGCCATCCTTCTGGTACGCGATCAAACACGTTACCAGACAGCCGTAACTGTGAGAGTTCCGACTTGGGAAATTGCTGCGCGTTGTAAATTGTCGAATTTTCAATCTTGAGTACATCTAGCGTGGGAACGCTCTTGAAGAAATCGGGTTGGATAGACGTAATGTTACTAGACGATATATCCAATTGGTAAATCCCTCTGAAATTTTTCGTTTTTGATAATGAGATTGTACTCTCCCTGATAAAAAAGCGGAATTTTCTAGACGGATACAGGTGCGATGGGATATCGTTCAATGATGTGATGTTATTACACAGTACATAGAATATGCCATAGTGATCTTCGTTATAGCAAGTTGACCATGACGTTTGTACGCAGTAAGCAATCGTTAAAAAGGCGAGCAGCAACTTCATTGTATGGAGTTAACCTGAAAATGAGAGTTTCACATAAATTTCTTTACAAATCTTTAGTTTCAAAATTAAACTGGTCATGATGTTTTCGTTGTGATGTGACGGTCGGACACTGTGATGTCAACAGAAGATAATTTTATGAAACTCTTGTTTAGTGCTTCAAAAGGTGACTATCAATTTAAAAAAAAACGCGTTACGTTAGTTGGACAAGTTGATTATGCAAAATCAAAAGTGTGTAGTGATCTAGCAAAATGAAAGAAAGTGGAAATTGAGTTCAATTTAGAAATAAATAATATTATATACTCCGTGCAATAGTTATTGTCCAAGGAACAAAAAGGTAGCCATGGAATTTTGTTTTTATGTTTAATAAAATTAAAACTCCCAATCAGAATCAGCTGCGAACATTGAACTATATACTCTGTAACTGGAACGGCATAAATTTAAATGTTCCTACACGTACTTATACTCCGTTCAATAGTTATTGTCCAAGTAGGTAGCCATGGATTTGCAACGACTGATTTTGAATTATCACTCGAAAAATGAACACTTTACTTTGGCTGACTTACTAAGGGACGCGCGGGAAAATTTTGATAAGGAGAAAACCACTTTATATAACATTCTAAAATCCATGGGTTATAAATACAAACACGTAAATAGACGTAAAATTCTCTGTGAACAAAAACATGTTGTTGCATCCAAAATTACATTTTTGAGGAAATTCTTGCAATACGAAAATTCAAGTGCAAATATAACATTCGTGTATCTGGACGAAACTTGGATTTTTCAAAATGGATCCATCGTCCGAAAATGGGACCACGATTCTGAAATTAAAAGTAATCTGTCTAAAATTAAATCAGAAGGGAAGCGTTTTACTGTTTTGCATGCGGGGTCTCGTTTTGGATTTTTGGAAGGGTGTAATCTATTACAAACTTCAAATAGTAACGATAGATATTATCACAAAACTATGAACGGAGAGATTTTTCAAAATTGAGTGGTTAACCAATTACTTCCTGCTCTGAACAAAATTCAAGGTAAATGTGTGGTGCTCTTGAACAATGCACCGTATCATTCGGTGCAGTTGGAAAAATTACCCTCACGTAATTGGAAAAAGGATCAGATGCAGGATTGATTGATTAAACACAATGTCAAAATTGAGAGCAAAATTACCAAAAATTATCTTTGGAGTTTAATTGAACCTTTTAGGAAAGACAATAACAAACGTTACGTGACTGACGAATTTTTGAAAGAGAATGGGCACGAAGTTCTTAGATTGCCTCCGTACCATTGCCAGTACAATCCTATTGAAATGGCATGGGGGTTCTGTAAAACTTACTACAACAAGCGTATAAATTCTCAGCTTTCATCCAAGGATCCAAGGATAAGGTTAAGCTCTTGAAGCTCTTTCAAATTGTACTTCTGACAGGTGGCAAAATTTTTGTAATCATTGTGAAAAACTGGGTGAAATATATGGGAAATATTTCGTTTGAAAGCATTCCATCTTTCATTATTTCATTGGAGGAATCTAAGTCTGAATCAGGTATTGATAATGATTCAAATACTTCCAATGAAACAATGGTCGTGGAATAGAGGGTTCAGTGGCATCAAAATTGTTGTTTATGACATGGAAAATGAATGGAAACACCAAACTCTTCAAAGTTCCAGAATTTAAGGAAAGATTCCAAGGATTTCATCCAGAAAGAACAACAGGTCACCAGATAACAAGCTGGGACATGGCGAATCACAATCCTTACCACGAACTCAGCAGGGCAAACACCAATTAACACCCAGAAGAAGAAATGCGAGAGCAAGACACCATCAGGCAGCTGCTCTAAGAGTAAAAGGTTCCCCAAAGAATAGTAAGCTACCCGCCGGAAATCAGATTAACAGAAATGTACTGATCATCAAACAGCACAGACGGAAAACAAAAGACCCAAGGAAGAACATTCCAATGGCACCGTGGAAGCAAGAACTACACTCAAGCGCAGTTAGGTATCAATGCGGTCGTTGAGGGCATCTCGGGTATGATGGCACTGACTTATCGAGCAATGGTTATCTTTTAAGAACCTACACCACACATCTCCCAAATGATCCAGCCCCAGACTAAAGCTGCTCGAAGTTTAGACCAGCATATCGGCATTTAAATGTGGAAGTGTTTAGTTCATAAAGACCACTACCAGCAACCTGCTATTACTAAGCATATAATTGTAAATAAGTTCATAACAGCCTTTTGAAATTAATAATGTACATTAGAGCCATTTGCCTACTCAATAAAGTATGAAACGTATTGAGCAAGTTGTTTCTCATGAAATTTATACGTATAACCTATAACAAAATTACCACAAAATCCAAAACTAAATCTGGCAACTAGGTTTTGCACATTGGCAGGAAATTATCATTTTGTATAAAATGGACATAATCTAATGAATGACAGTACATATACACAGTGAATTTCATGACATTTGGGACAATAAGTGAGTATATGTTCGATAGAAGAGTACAAATGTTCCATAAAGTATAGACTGAGTAATGCATAATTTCGCATACCTGTTTGTAAACTTATAAAAGTGTTGTATCTGGAACCTGAGACATCAACAAACTAAAACCGATACCCACTTGAGCCCATTAATAAGGGTCATTAGTCCTAATTTTGCTACAAGAGAACTTGTTTGCGACAGTGGTTTTACCAGTGCCTATCTCATAATAATAAATAGAATATTCTGTTTAAAATTTAATTTAGATTAGATTGCATATTTTCAAAGAATTTATTTCGATTATTATGGTAATAATCGATCATTAATGACCTATCAACGTCACAACGGTAAATTTGGTCATATAATTTGGAATAAACAATAAGAGCAGTATTTGTCATTCGGTGAAATTGGAATATGAGTGGAATGTCCAAACGTACGATTTGATATGTATTTATTCAGAAGAATGGAGGAGATATTTGGGGCGTGGAAGTAGGTATAATATTCCGTTTAAAAAATTCTCAAATTTTAACTTCGATAAAAGACCGAGGAAAGGTTATTTTTTACCATAGGGCTTATATAAAAAGGAATCTCGTAGGCGGCGTAGGCTATAAATGGTTTTAAGAAACAAGAATCTGATGAGTATGTAGTACCAAATAGTACAACTTGATCCTTTAGGATGACAATTAAAAACAGAAAAATTCCAAGAAATTGAAAACGAAATATCCGAGGAATCCACAACAAATAATGAATTCAAATAATAGGTAATCTGAGTAGTCAGAAGAATTGGAAGGATCACAAGAATCTCAAAAATTTGAATAACATGAAGGATCTGAAGAATACAAGAAATCTTCAAAACCTGAGGGATCTTCTGACATGTCTTAAAACTTGAAAGAGCCGAGTTCTAGCTGGATTTTGAATTGGGATTCAAATTGACACATAATTAAATGATAAAAAGAAATTGTAAGAATTTATTCATTACAAAAAAATCAATTACAAAGGATCCTGTAAGAAAAATTTAATGCTAACAGTGCCTTTTGAGTACAACATTGAACATACTCCGTTTGCAAACGGTACGTTTAAAAACAAACTAAGATATCTCATGAGGTACTCACAGTTCCGTTAATAATAATCCAATAATGGGTCTGCCAACAGAAACCTTAAAAAGGTAAAGCTCCATGGACCGCAATATTATACTTACAAAAGACATTTTCGTGGAGGTATCTACCCCAACGGCCTTCTAAAATAATCATTAGCGTCAATATCGGCTAAAAAACATTAGTGTTTGTGCTACAAAAAAGGGGTTGTCGGCCGTGCAGTATTTTCTCATCTCATACCACATGGATGGAAAGTCACAATTGGTAAAAGCATGCGCCAAAAGCAATGAAACGTTATACACATTCTATATTCAACTCAGTAACGAATATCTTGCATTACTCAGAGTGTTGTGTTCCCTCCCCAATTGGGGATTGCAGATGATGTGCAGTTGTTTACTCGTCTTTTACCTCTGGGTGCAGCGTTGCAGCGTGGGGAAGAATAGTGGTGGTCGATGAACAATTTTTTACATTTGTAGTTGTGTCATCCACTCATCATAAAGCTCCCATCAGCTCTGTAACAATATGAATTAAAATGAGCAGGCATGTAGCTTATGACTCCTTCTAGTCTGAAGATACAAATTTACCAAACCCCATCAAACGACCAACAAACGGTTGCAAATTAAAAAATTCAAAAATTTTAATATCGGGGCTAACTTCACGCCCAAAACTTATACAATTTACTCTGAAGATGCTATCAACCAACAGAACGGCTTTATGGCTCAGTGGTAGAGCGTTGGGTTATAAATCCGGAGGTCGGGTGTTCGAACCTGGGTTGAGTTGAATTTTTCATCTGTGGCAGAGATGGAAATGACCTTAGACCAGTTCCGAGCATTCTACCGGCTACTCCGAATTAGGTTTTCCTGCAGTTTTCCTAATTCGTAAGGTAAATACCGGAGTAGTAAAGAACAACTTAAGACCTTCTGCAGAGGTACCTCTAAATAGCATTATGCGGATCACTCTGTAATTGGGCACATGCCTGTTGAGGGCCCAGAACAAGAGAGGGATAAATAAATAAATAAATAAATAAATAAACAGAAGGTAAAGAATACCCAACAAACACCAACAAATGACCAACAAACGATTACAAAAAAAACCGATTGCAATAAAAATATTTTAAAAATTCAAAAAGTGGGGGGCTAACTATAGGCTCAAATTTTGAAATTTGAATAATTAAATAACGGTCAACCAACACACATCAAAATGTAATTAACAAACACCAATAAACAACCAAGAAACGATTGCAATACAAATATTCTGAAAATTCCAAAAAATGGGGGGCTAAGTTGACACCGGTGTCCGTTTGTAGTAATAAAAATAAGCCGTTCCAGAGCGTATAATAAATCTTTCGCCATTTCTCTTGTAATCTCCCTTTTGAGTGGCCCAATCATGTCCTTAGCTTTACAAGTACAATTTTTCGACATTTCGTTTTTGAAATATTCGCATTTTAAAAGACAAAATATTCTATCGTAGGTACAGGAGGCATTAAATACTTTAACAGATCTTTTACCAAAATTTTATATCGATAGTACTTTCCATTGGAAAGCTGTCGACGACATTTTGTGGTGGAAACCAACGGAAATTACTTCTCGCTTGCAGAAATTTAATCCGCAGGTTCTGAAATTCGATGTTTCGGACATGGGCAGAAAGTATAAAGGTGAGGTGAGGTAATTAATAGGAAATTATTTATAGAAACAATTGAACCTTACGAACTAAAGTCAATTATTGTGATAAGAAATATCGTTTTAACGCAGATATGTACCTAATCGTAGATTTGTTACGAAATTGGAAAGTAATCTGCTAATCTTTTATGAATCTAGAAAATGTATTAATTATTGTATAATCAGGTTTACCCTTGGGTGGTACCAAATAGTAGATGGTGTGAACAAAATTGTGCATCATGCTTACGGTGCCTCAAGTAAATGAAGTAGAGATAAATGCGGCACCATGCTATCCGTTTTCCAGGATCTCTGCACTAAACTTACCATTAAAGCATTTTGGATAAAAAAAGGAGCTCTTGGAGGAGTTCGGCAAACATTACGATATGACAAGAGGCCGAAACTGTTATCTAATCACGATTATTCGTTGAGTACTTCGGATAATGGCCGTGACGTGGTGAAAGTGCTTGTGATCTTCTTTCGATTGGTGTCATTATAAACCCGCTAAGACTTAAATTATGATGGAGAGCAACGATCTGCAAAAAACCTTTTTTCCATATTAATTGCCTATGTTCGTTTTTGAAATATTTTTATTTTATGCTCGTGTATATAATAATTGAGAGGTACTTTTAGAAAAGCAGTGCAGCAGCTGCGCTCGGAAAATCGTACCTTCCAGCGTGTCTACCAAGATCTTAGCAACATCACGCGATCGGTAGACTAATAGAATAGAAATCTCGCAGACCGCAGACCGCGGACGAAATGGAAAATTCCTGCATGAAAAATTGTAATAAAATATGATAAAATAGTATATTAAGATACAAGTGTATAATCAAGTCTTTAAAGCATGCGCAACGAGTTTAAGGCACGACGCAAAGCGGAGTGCCTTTAACGTTGCAAGTGCTTTAAAGACCAATTATACACGTGTATCTTATAGTATTTTTTATTATACCTGCAGTATAATTTAAAAATAGGAAATACAATGAAGTCATATTGACGTTATACTCGAATGCATGTCTAATTAAGTGGGCTGGGTGTTCGTAATTTCACGATTGCCATGGAAATGTCACTTGACGTTTGCTTATAAAAATCATCGTCTTTGTGAATTAAACGATTTCCGTTGAAAAAGATAATACACCGTCCATTAAATCGATTGTTGTAAAATCTAAACAAACGTTGGTAGGTGTAAAATCCAACTCCAGTAAAGCCTATTATAAAGAATATGAAAAGTTGTTTCCATGGATGAATAGGAAGTTACTTACGAATACAGTCTTAAATGCATCCATAATGCTGGCATATATGAAGGAAATGTCAAAGGTATTTAAATCTTCTATATTTTGGTGCATTCATTCAAAACTTTAAAGCAATGCTGCGATTAAAAAGTGGAACAGATTTGGAAGCATACCCTAAATTACGCGCGTTTGTGAAAGCTTCAACGAAAGGATAGGTACAAATGCCAAAGAAACGTTCTGCATTTACAGAAAGCGACCTAAGAGGATTTTTTATTTCATCCAGATGACAGTTTCAAAAGTCATACTTGAAGTATCGTTACTTAGCAATTTTAAAGCACGTGTGTTTTAAAGGCCCTTTTTCGCACGCATTTGAGTGTTTAAAACGGAGATTGTGATTCAGGTATAATAAAAAATCAATTCAAAAGTCAATTGTCTACCCTGACAATCACTGCACAGATAAGTAATCTTGAGGTACAAAATTAGACTTTAGCTGATGCGGTAGATAATTACTGAATTAAACAATTGATAATGTAAATCTGTGTTCATTATCAGCGAAAAAGATCAAAAGAAATATATTGCAAGTTAGGTGCTACCAGATAAAATATCTACGTCGTAGTGGTTGTAGGGGGGTATTGCCATTATCGTCAAAAGAAAACTGGAACATACCAAACTTCCTGATCTACACAATATCAGTCTGGAAACCACCGGCATCAAACTACAACTCAGCAATCACAGCCAACTCACAATCCGTAGCACTTACAGACAACCTAACAAGAAACTTATCGAGAACGATCTAAAACAGCTACTCGACACAAGAGAACAAACATTAATCATAGGAGACCTAAATTCAAAGCACACACTATGGGGCTGCCGAGCAACCAATACAGAAGGCATCAAGCTAGAGCGGTATTCTACTAAATACACCTTCCAGGTCATGACTCCCGAAGAGTATACATATTATCCGTATCGTACCGATCACAAACCAGAAATCCTGGATATTGTATTACAAAAAAATTTCCCAAAACAACTAAGCCAAAGAGTAATACCCGAACTAAACTCGGACCACCTACCCGTCTTAGTGTCCTTCCTAAGCATACCCCAACTAAGACAGCCTCCTCTTAAACTAATCAATGGGCCAATAAACTGGGAAGTTTTTCAAAATCAATTAGATGCAAATCTAAAGAAGCCTAATAATCTAAACACTAACGAGGACATTG